CGGGTGTGGTGGTACAGGCTTGTAGCCCCAGCTACTCAGGAAACTGAGACATGAGAATCTCTTGAGCCCAGGAGTTCGAGGTGGGAAGTTTCCTCTGAGTTCCTTGGTTAAATTGGTCAGAGGGAGAAAGGGAGAGGATTATCCAAATTACTTGGATGTTTACACTACTTGCTTTTCTACCTCTGGCCTTCTTAAGCTGTCTTTGGTGGTCCTAGGAGGAGGGGTGGGTCTCAGGGTGACAGGGGCAATGTGGTTGGTTGCAAAGCTGCTCTTCTTATCAACCATTCATGCCCTGGCATTCGCCCTGGGCTGGGGGAACTTCAGAAGGGAAATGTCCTGTTTTCCCCACAGTCCGATCAGAGCTCACCATTTCCAAGCCTGAGCCCAATGGATCTCCATCAACCTCATTCTCACAGTAGATAATGCCATATGCTCCAGTGATCTGAGCTTCATACAGCATACAGCCACAGACTTAGCAAAAGGCTTCTATCACCTTCATATTCAGTCTGTGGAAACAGCAAGTGTTCTTGGCTGGTTCTGTTCGTTTGTTTCTTTGTTTGAGTCTTGCTCTGTCACCCAGGCTGGAGTCAAGCATGATCTCGGCTCACTGCAACCTCCACCTCCCAGGTTCAAGCAATTCTCCTACCTCAACCTCCCAAGTAGCTGGGACCACAGGCGCCTGCCACCACCCCTGGCTAATTTTTGTATTTTTAGTAGAGATAGGGTTTTACCATGTTGGCCGGGCTGGTCTTGAACTCCTGGCCTCAAGTGATACACACACCTCAGCCTCCCAAAGTGCTGGGACTACAGATGTGAGCCACGGTGCCTGCCCTATTCTTGGCTGGTTCTAGCCTGGGAGTGGGTGGGTGGCATGAGGACAGAAATGGGAGGAGCTGGAATGGAAGTTAAGGGCACCCTGGGAAGGGCCTCTCTTAGGAGTTTAAATTTTGTTCTCGAAGCAGTGGGAAGTCATCCACCCTGTTCAGCAGGGCAGAGACATCACCAGTTTGTACTTTAGAAAAGTAACTGCTGGCACTGAAGAGGATGGATTGAAAGGCAGGGCCCTGGCAGCAGGGCCTGAGCCAGGGCAGAGGAGAAGGGGCAGATTCCAGAGAAACTCAGAAGCAGAAAGCCCTGAGTTTACTGAGGGGGTTGAATGTGGGAGGGGAGGAAGGCAGCATGTAACATCTGCAGCTTGAGTGAATGGGAGGCGCTCCTTATCCAGGACAGAGGATAAGGATGTGGAGATGATGGGCTCCAGGCTATCCACGCTGAAGGTGCAGTGGCTGTGGGACAGCTTGTCCAATGGCAGTAACACATGCCAGTCAGGGCTTGAGAGAGGGAGTGGGGTGCTTGGATAGGTCATCAGCACACTCCACTAGGAGCAGAGGGGGTAATATTAATAACATTTGGCTGGCCATGGTGGCTCACGCCTGTAATCCCAGCACTTTGGGAGGCCAACGCAGGCGGATCAACTAAGGTCGGGAGTTTGAGACCAGCCTGACCAACATGGAGAAACCCCATCTCTACGAAAAATACAAAATTAGCTGGGTGTGGTGGCCCATGCCTTTAATCCCAGCTACTCAGGAGGCTGAGGCAGGAGAATCGCTTGAACCTGGGAGGTGGAAGTTGCGGTGAGCTGAGATCGTGCCACTGCATTCCAGCCTGGGCAACAAGAGCGAAACTATGTCTCCAAAAAAAAAAAAAAAAAAAAAAGTAAATAAAATAAAATAAAATTAAAAAAAAAAAAACAAAAAACAGCTGGGTGCGGTGGCTCATGCCTGTAATTCCAGCACTTTGGTAGGCCAAGGTGGGTGGAGGTCGGGAGTTTGAGACCAGCCTGGCCAACACGGTGAAACCCCGTTTCTACTAAAAATAAAAGAATTAGCTGGGCATGGGGGCGTGCACCTGTAGTTTCAGCTTCTCAGGAGGCTGAGTTGGAAGAATTGCTTGAACCTGGGAGGCAGAGGTTGCCATGAGCCAAGATCGCGCCACTGCACTCCAAGCTGGGCAACAGAGTGAGACTCCGTCTCAACAACAACAACAAAAAATGTTAGCAGTCTGCAAGTGGAGCCATGAGGGGTTGGTACCTGCCCCACTCTATTCCCTCTGTGAGAACATCTGGAAAGAGGGGTTGGTTAGAAAATTAGAGGACTCAGCCTTGGAGAAGCCCCTGGGGCAGGCAGAGCTGAAGAAATGAGGGAGTGGGTAGAAAGATGCAGAGACTAGGAAGCCATGAGGGTGGGAGGCATTAACAATATTCAGGGCTCCAATGGAGTGAAGGAGTAGGACAGGGAGGAGGCCCATAGGTTGAAGCAAAGAGGAGCCTAAGGGTGCCTCCCTTGAAATGGTATCTTCCCCTAGGATGAAGGGGAAGAAAGCCAGATTGCAGGAAGTTGAGGATTGAATGGGGCTTGAAGAAGCAGAGAGTGGGTCTGGTTGCTTCTTAGGAGAGGCCTACTGATGAATGCAGAAGAGAGAAACAGGACAATGACTTGAGGGCAGGGTAGGGTTGGGGCCAGGTTCCCTTAGAAGGGGGTATCCTGAAATGTTTGTGGTTTTGAGGCAGACGGGAGGAGAAAGAAGAACTAACAGAGTCTCCTGAAGCCTACACAGAAGGTTGGGCTGGAAAGCAAAAGGGACATCTCATCTTTGGAAGATCAGAGACAACAGGGCCTGAACCAGGCAGAAGTGGAGGAGTGGGGCGGGGAGAGAAGGAGAAATGAACAGGATCTGATAACCAGTAGAGTGCCAGGGAAGATACACAGAAGGCTGAGGCTTCCAGCCTCTGAGCCAGAGGCGGATTCAGGAGAGTAGGAGGAGGTGGCTTCGGGAGGGAAGAGGTCTCAGTTGCCTTTAGCCTCCTTGAGTTTTAGGTGTCTGGGAGACCCACAGGTGGCCCTCTGTAGGCAGCTGGTGTGAGGGGCTGGAGCCCTGGGGGCTCAGAGGCAGTGGTGGGAATGGGTGGAGGTGTCCGGGGGTGGGGAGGTTGTGAGAGGCAGGGAAAGGGTCTGAGAAAAAGCTTCCAGAAGAATAGACCCAAAAGGAGGAGTATGTTAGCAAAGCCCAAGAAAAGTGTGCTTCAAGGAAGAGTGCCCATTAGAGCAACTGGTTTTATTAATGACTATAATAATAATGTATTTAAAAATTTTATTAGCCGGGCATGGTGGTACCCACCTGTAACCCCAGCTACTCAGGAGGCTGAGGCGGGAGAATCGCTTGAACCTGGGAGGTGGAGGTTGCAGTGAGCCGAGATCGCGCCACTGCACTCCAGCCTGCGCGACAGAGCGAAACTCCATCTCAAAAAAAAATAATAAAAATAAAATAAAATAAAATAATAAAAAAATGTATGAGCAATCCACAGGTAAGTGCAAATGGAAATCTCCAAGTTTGCAGATGCATTTTCCTGCTCCTGAAGTGCCAAGGTGACAGGGATGAACTGCAGAGGGATCTTGCAAGTAAGCAGAAAAGTGACAAATGAACTGCACTAAGTAAGTATAAGGTAACACACTTGATAACATAATCTAGACTATATTGGCCAGGAGGACTAATCCTGAGCTCTCAGTTACAACCTCGGAAAGGAGCCAGGAGTCAGTGTAGACGTATGGGTTAGTCCCTCCGGATTAAGAATCTTTAACCTGTGGCCTGAAAACCATCTTCTGGGATTTCAAGCACCCTGCCTCCCCCAAATTGAGAAGTGTGGGGAGAGAGGAGCAGGAGAGAGGAGATCCTCAGAGGGGTTTGGAAACCCAGTCCTGGAGTTCCGTTCAACATGCTACCCTAATGTTGGGCCTCCCGAGGAGGGTGTGGTTCTGAGATTTCTCCCCCTCCCAGTTTCCCAACTTGCTGAAGAAACTTACCCTTGACATGCAAATGATGGAAACACATTGGTGTCTGGGGCACTTTGGTTTGTGGTTTTTACCATCAGCTGTCTCTGAGGCTGAGCGTGTCGATCTAGTCTCAGCAAGGCTAGCAAATTGCAAGCGCTCAGAAGGGAGAGAGGGGGCTATTCCTGGGGTCTGGGCCCAGATGGGCAAATGGGTCTGTAAGGCAGACTTTTCCAGGAGGAGGGTGCAGACCCTTTGCAAGTTGTTTGGGGACATAGCTTAGATTGCATCTGGCCTTCACCCTCCTCAGATCCCCTAGGTAGCAGGGTGCTTGGTGGTCACCACCTGATCCAGGCTACCCACTCCCAAATTGGAGTCTGAAACGAAAGCACGTGGGAAAAGAATAGCAAAGGTCAATTTCCTATTTATTAAACAAGTTCTTCCATGGAAAATCTTCCCAGGGCTCAGCAGCCCTTGAAGTGATCAGGGATGCAGGGGAGGTTGGGGGAGAAGAAAATGGGAGATGGCAGGTGTAGACGAGTGATAGCTTTGATTTGTTTCCCCTTCCCACCATCTCCTGTGGCCTCAGCATTCGATTTGGTTTCCTTTCCAGGGCCCTAATTCCAGGGAGCTGCCCCTCCTCCACACCTGTGTCCCAAGCCCCAGCTGTGCGTCCTCACCCTGGGTTCCTGGCACTGACCTGGAACCTGTCGGGCAGCCCTACTCTTAGCTCCCCGCGGAGTCTCGGAGGTCTCAGGTCTCCTCCGCCCACCCTCTCCGCAGCTGGGAGTGGCAGGATGCCCCGCATCCCGCTCTGCGCGGGAGGTCGAGGCGCCCCGCTCACGCCCTCCTGCCCACAAGCTGGGGAGTCACTGCGGCCCGGGAGGGAGGGACACGGAGGGCATTTTTCCAGTCTTCACCGGGTGCTCCCCTCTCCACCCCCCGCAACCGTGTGGGTTTCCGGACCCCCAGGTCCGCTTCCCTCCTCGCTGGAAAGGGGCCGGCCATCGGGAAACGGCCCGGGGTCGCCGCAGCCTGGCCCCCACCCCGCCCGCAGCCCCGCTCCTCCCCGCGCGGCCCCACTTGTGGCCCTGTCGGCAGCCGCGCAAGGACAGCTGCATTTCTCGCCGTCCGCCGCTAGGAAGCCGGCCTCGCCTCGCTTTCTCCGCCTCCCCGCGCCCCAGCCGCGCCGCCGCCGCCGAGCCCGGCCCCGCCGCCGCCGCTGCGGATTGCAGCCCCTCCCCCGCCCGGCCCGCGGCCCGGCCCCTGCGGCCCGCGCGGAGCGGACGCGCGTGGCGCTGCCCGGTAAGACCCCCGCGCTCCCGCGGCTCCCGCCCGGCCCTGGGCGCGGTCCTCGCCGGCGCCCCGAGCGCAATCCCGGCCCCGGCCCGGCGGCCCCACCTTCTCCGGACCCGTTGCCCAGGCGCCGCCGGGAGGGCCGGGCCGTCGCGAGTTTGATTCCCGGGACTGTCGGCGCGGCTCCCCGGGAGCTCCGCGTGCGGCAGGTCCCCGCCCGCCCTTCCTTCCCGAGCCCCCACCTCATCCCGGGCCCCGGGCGCGGGGGGCGTGCGGGCATCTGGGGGGTCGGGAGCGGGGCGCGCGATTAGACTGGGGGGGCGCGGGCCGGCGGCGCAAGGAAGGGAGACGAGGCCTCCCGGAGCCGGCGCCGCCCGAGTCCCCTCTCCCGCGGCTCCCTCTTTTGTGTGGGCGCCCCTCCCTGCAGTGCCCGGGCCTGGGGGCGCAGGCTGGGCGGCGACGGCAGGCGGGGGCGCCTGATGGGAGCTGAGCGCCTTTCAGGGGGAGGGGAGCTTCGCTTCCTGCCCCCGCCGATGTCACAGGTCGGCTCAGCCTTTTTTGGTCCCTCCCGGTCCCCTGGGAGCTGTATCTCCCGTCAGCTCGGCCAGAGAAAGTTGGGAATGCGCTGTCCCCGCCCCTGCTCCCCCGCCCCGCCGGCTCCTGTGCCCCGGGCTCTGAGCTCCAAGGGGCTGGTGTCGGCGTTTATTCATTCCGCCCTCTTCCATTTCTCAGTCGCATGGTCGCCTTACACCCAGCACTGCCCTGCCCATTTCTTTTCCCCTTAAAAAAAGTTTTAGCTCCGAGAAACGTGCACTGAAATGAAATTCCTGAGAAGGAATGTGTTTTAAGGGGAGACAGGGTTTAGATTTTCCTTTTTTTGGTGGGGCAGAAGGTGAGGGGACTCCCTGGGAGTTTAGAAACAGGATGTCCTAGAGGCGATAGATGCAAGAAGACCATCCACCGTGCTCCCCACCTGATCAGCAGGCAGCGTCTTGTAGCCAGAGGAATGAACCTTCCCTGGGTGATCCCGAAGCACCTGAGCCACCTGGCCCAGGAGAAAGGACTCAGGGAGATGTTCTGGGCCTCTCACCCCTTTTCTTTATAGCCAGCTGTGCCTGAAGGAGGTGAGGGGCCCCAGGAATTCTCTCATGGAGGAAGTCATGTCACCATGCGGTTGGGCCCCTGCTGGATCAAGTGTGAAGCTGGGTCCTCTCTGTTGTTGGGGGTCAGTCCCACTGGTACCTCAATTTGAATGGAGGGTGCCATCTCTGGGATGGAGAGGTGCTGCTGGGAGAAACCTGGCTCGGGCCTCCAGGAAGCTGGAGCCTGGGCAGGAGAGCTGGATGTGAAACCTCCCTGTCCACTTTCTGCAGCTGGAAGGGTCAGGACAAAGGAAACAGGATACTGCTACCGACCTGGGCACATCCTTGAATAGAAGAGAGACCCTGGACAGCAAGGATAGCCCAGGGATGTTGATATGACTAGAGCTGTATCCCCAGCTCCTGGGTCAGGCCAACTAGGGCCAGAGGTTGGAGTCATGGGCCCATTTGAGAATCTGGTGAAAGCTCTAACTCCTCTCCCTCCAAAATGCACGTGTGTAGGGAAACACTTGTATTCAATACGAGACAGTTAATATACCCCCTTGGAACTAGGACCTCCATTGAGACCCCTGCCCTAGAGTTACCGGCCTGACTTGGGCTATCAGGAACAGTTGTCACCTTTTTGGCTGGTCAGTGAATAATCCCAGGGTTCAAAGAGCAGACTGCTTCTAAGGTCTTTTCTCATGACCTCCCTATGCAACTCTGGGCTTGTGGCCATGGAGACCTGGAGTGTCTGGATGGATCCCAGCTCCCTACAGCTAGCTAGAGGATGGGGGCAGATGAGGTAGCCCTTTTCCCGGGGCTCATTTTGCTGTCTGTGTGGTGACAAGGCCCTGGGCACTGGGCTAGGATCACTGAATTAGAGGTAAATGGATTTGGGTGGAGGTGGATATTCTGGTGTTTCAGCTGGGTGTGAGATCCAGGCCTTTAAGAGCTCCAGCTTGTTCTTGGGGAAATGGGGTTGAGGTGCTTTAGTAGAGAGTGTTAAGTGTGAAAGATGCCTCTTAAGGAGGTCTTGGGGCAGAATTGTCCAAGGCTATGATCTGAGTATTGTCGGTTCCTTAGATCCCTTCGGACTCTTGAAGGCAAGTGGGGCCAGAGGGCTGCTGTCGCTATCCCCAGTGCAGCCCAGAGGAGGCCTGGCCTGCCTTTCCTTTTTTGGCTCACTAGGCCCTGGGCTGCTGCATAGGTGTTTGTGGCGTCTACACTTGCTAGGGAGCTGGAAGAGCTTTAGGAGGATCTGCCATTTGTGACTTCTCTACCTTGGCATTCAGAAGACTTCCTTAGGCTCAAGTTCCCCACAGAGACCTGTAGGGGATTTTTCTTTGTTTAAGTAGAGAGCACAGTGTTTGGCATATGGCACCACTCACACTGGTATTCTTCCTTTCGTGATTCCTACATTTGCTCTGGTAATAAGCAACAGAGGCAGGAGCATTCTAGAGCCTTGGGCACAGGAAGCTGGGTGTCTGACAGGGGTCACCTCTGACTATCCAAGGTGAGCTGGAGGAGGTGGTGCTTCCGTTTTACTAGCTCTTGCACTTACAGGAAGTAAGAGCTATAAAAGGCATTGGAGGCCGGGAAGTAAGAGCTATAAAAGGCATTGGAGGCCGGACTCAGTGGCTCACGCCTGTAATCCCACCACTTTGGGAGGCTGAGGCGGGTGGATCACGTGAGGTCAGGAGTTCCAGACCAGCCTGGCCAACATGATGAAACCCCGTCTCTACTAGAAATACAAAAATTTGCTGGGTGTGGTGGCGTGTGCCTGTAATCCCAGCTATGCAGGAGGCTGAGGCAGGAGAATCGCTTGAACCTGGGAGGCAGAGGTTGCAGTGAGCTGAAATTGTGCCATTGCACTCCAGCCTGGATGATAAGAGCAAAACTCCATCTCCTAAATAAATAAATAAATAAATAAATAAATAAATAAAATAAAATAAAATAAAATGAAGGGCATTGGAGACCCTAAAGGGTTGTGGTCCAGTGGTCCTTGACTTGGGAATTGGAAGTCTCTTGGTGGCATGCAAAGATCCTTGTTGCAGTGTCTGAGGATTCACCTTCCCCAGTGGCCATGACTTCTCAGTCATGCTGTGGCCCTGGCTACCATGGGTTGGCGAGTTCAGGATGCTAGCTGTGTTAGCTCACTCAGTACTCCTCTGATCCCCTTGGCTTCCAGGCTCCCAGAACCTCTGATGTGTCAGAGCATTATCACAGACTCTTGATGATGCAGCTAAATGTCTTATCTTTAAAGCAGGTCATAAATGATAAATGTGATAACAGTCCTTGTAAACATAAACTCCCTTCTTATAAATGTGACCATTTCATTTCCATTGGGGCAGCACCAAGGGTCTTTGAGGAATTCTTGGTAGGATAAAAATGTTTAGGCTGGGCATGGTGGCTCCTGCCTGTAATCCCAGCACTTTGGGAGGCTGAGGCAGGTGGATCACCTGAGGTCAGGAGTTCAAGACCAGCCTGGCCAACATGGTGAAACCTGTCTCTACTAAAAATACAAAAAATTAGCCAGGCATGGTGGTGCGTACCTGTAACCCCAGCTACTTGGGAGGCTGAGGCAGGAGAATCACTTGAGCTCGGGAGGCAGAGGTTGCAGTGAGCTGAGATTGTGCCATTGGACTCCAGCCTGAACAACAGAGTGAGACTCTGTCTCAAAAAATAAAAAATAAAAAATAAAAATAACTAAAAAAAGTTCCAACTCCATTGGCCTAACTTCCACCCCCAGGAAGCAACTGAGTTATTTTTGCACATTTTCATCATAGCTTAGTTGTTTAGAGTGTAAGATCTGAAGTTAGGCATCCCCAGGTAGAATCCCAGCTCTCCATCTTACTCTAAGACTTTGCAAGTGCCTGAGTTTCCTATATTTAGAAAGAGTTAAAAGAGATGTCACATGTATGCCAGACAAAGAGGAAGTGTTCATTACATTGAAGCTATTATTATTATTATCATTTCTGCACAGGGGTACACAAATTCTGAGGCTCATTATTAAGGAAATCTTTGGTAAAAACTGTAGGGGCTGAGGATGGTTTTTGGAAGAGTGGGAGGGGTTGGGGTGAGGCGCTTGAATGATGAGCAGAGAGGGCCGCACACTGGAGGCGGGGGTGGGGAGACTGAAATGTCATGGGTGACAGCTAAGCATATTTGGGGGCAGAATGACTCAGCATCTGTAGCCCTGCTGTGGAACCAACTCTTCTCCCTTTTCTTTGGAAAATTTGCCCCAAAAGCTGGGGGCAGGGGTGAGGAGGCATAACCAGCGAGGAGGGTTGAATGGCATAAAATTAATGCTAACATTGGTCCAGAGGAACAGGGCAGAGTTCCCTGGAGGAAGGGAACCTAGTGAGGGGATGGGGGCAGGCCCAATAGACAGTCAAGAGTGCAAGCTGGCAGGGCGTGGTGGCTCACGCCTGTAATCCCAGCACTTTGGGAGGCCGAGGCGGGTGGATCACCTGAGGTCAGGAGTTCCAGACCAGCCTGGCCAACATGATGAAACCCCGTCTTTACTAAAAATACAAAAATTAGGCCAGGCGCGGTGGCTCAAGCCTGTAATCCCAGCACTTTGGGAGGCCGAGACGGGCAGATCACGAGGTCAGGAGATCGAGACCATCCTGGCTAACACGGTGAAACCCTGTCTCTACTAAAAAATACAAAAAACTAGCCGGGCGAGGTGGCGGGCGCCTGTAGTCCCAGCTACTCGGGAGGCTGAGGCAGGAGAATGGCGTGAACCCGGGAGGCGGAGCTTGCAGTGAGCTGAGATCCGGCCACTGCACTCCAGCCTGGGTGACAGAGCGAGACTCCATCTCAAAAAAAAAAAAAAAATACAAAAATTAGCTGGGCGTAGTGGTGGGTGCCTGTAATCCCAGCTACCCAGGAGGCTGAGGCAGGAGAATCGCTTGAACCCAGGAG